TGGAGGGGAGGAGAAGAGGAGAAGAGGAGAAGAGGAGAAGAAAAGAGAAGAGAAGAGAGAGGCTAAATATGGCATGCATTTCTCATCATGTGCCTTCTTCCATTAGCTGACTGTAAATGATGAAAAATTGAGCAGGCTCTGGGGATAGATAGTGGCGATTAGGAAACCTGGGACCGTCTCCGACCTTCTGATGGCTGTAGCAGAGCCCTGAAAGAAGTGGGGGGCTTCAGAAGGTGCAGAAGTGTGTTGTGGACTGAATGTGTCCCCTACCCCAAATCCATATGTTGAAGCATTCGCCCCCATATGATGATTTTCAGAGATGAGATCTTTGGGAGGTAACTAGGTTTATTTGAGGCCATGGGGGTGGGAATCCTCATGAAGGTATTAATGTCCTGTGAAAAGAGGACACCAGAGCGAGTCGCCCATGCCCTTCCAAGCGAGGACTCAGTCCTCTCCAGCACTGAATCAGCGGACACTTTGCTATTGGACTTCTCAACCTCTGTAGTGGAGTGATTTCCTTAATACATATCAGCTGGTGCCCAAGTCTCGGATTACCAGTCTTCAGAACAGTGAGGAAGAAATGTCTATTGTTTATGCCGCCCAGTCTGTTACTGCAGCTGGAGCTGCGGAGACACAAAAGGAACAAGGTCAAGGGCTCTGAAGGCAGGAAGCGCTCACACCTCACAGGAAGAGCAGGGGCTGCTGTGCTGTCTTTCAGGAAGGAGATGAGACCCTGAGGAGGGCACGGCTGCCTCAGGACAAAGGTATCTTCTGCTTGGGCCCGTTGATCATTTTGCAGGGTGGGAACTGAGGTGATCGGATTCTCATTTTTAAGCTATGGTCTTGGCTTGGTGCAGAAGCAAAGGATGCCATTTAGGAAGGGAGTGAGACAGTGACTGGAGTAGGGGGACAAGGTAAGGGTCAAGTTGGGTGTAGTTTGGAGGCAGAGACCTGGGATTTGCTGAGGGATTGGATATGGAGGTGGGAAAGAGAAGAAGCAAAGATTGCTGCTAGATTTTGGGGGGAAAAGCTCTAGAAAAGGATCAGGTAGGAAAACTTGTGGGCACATGCATGCACGAGAGCACATGTGAGTGCGTGTGTGTGTGTTTGTGTGTGTGCATGTGTGTTAGCCCCAGATGAAGTCTGAGATTCCGTCATGCAGCCTGGTGAGGCGAAGGGGCTGGCTACAGGACTCTGGATTCAGGGCAGAGATTCAACCTGGAGATCACTTTTGTGATTTACCAGGAATGAAGACAGTTGTTTGTGGACTTCTGGGGCATTCTTGAGTGACTTCCCTGTGTTATGACGACAAAAGGAAGGAATGACCTAAAATTGATCTGAGTTTCTGTGTGTAATAAGCTAAGTAGTTCATGTGTATCATCTCACTGAGTCCTCACAGTTCCTTAAGATCCCAGTTAAACAGATTAAGGAAACTGAAGCACAGAGCAGTGAGCCAGTCATCAAGATTCATTTGGTACTTTGCTCTGGGGTGCTGGTGACAGCCTGTTCCCCAACAACTCACTGGGGTACCTGTGCACTCCGGACTCTAGGACTTCAGTCTCTGCACTGGTCCATTCAGCAGCTGGGCATTGTGATAGAAATCATGGTGGATGTGAACCCAGGCAGCATAGGTTCAAGTACAGACTCTGTTATTTATGGGATGCTTTGTTAAGGGAGAGCAGAGTTTTCAGGACGTCTTCCAGGCAAAGTTTTCTCATGCCTACTGTCTGCTTCACTATCAACTCCTTCTCCATTTGCCCACCAGTCAGCTTCTGCCAGCCTAACCCCTTCTAGCCAACTTTGATTTTCTGGCCGTGCCAGCCTGATTACTTCTAATTGTCTTTGACTGCTTCCAGCTGGGTCTTCTAGCTGGCATTCTGCGGGAGCACCAGGCAGTCTCTCAGCCATATGGAAGGAGGAGACGGAGAAGGAGAAGAGGAAGAAGGAAGCAGCTGGTACAAGTCAACTGAGACAGTTTTTTCAGGCTCTCCAGTTCATTCTGATTGGGAATGTTTTCAAAAGGGTTAACTCATTCAAGTTCAAGAACAGCCTCTCTTTGACAAGACAAACGATTATATTTGTTGATCCCCCAAAGACTAAGAGTAATTAAACTATAAATGCTTTTAAGAAAGTGACTCCTACTCTCTCCTGCAGGACAGGTAGGGCCTTGCTGTCAAGAGCAGAAAATCTCCCCGAGCATCAGTGAACGATCACCTTCCTTCCTGTATTCCACAAATACTTGCTGAACAATGACCATGTCTCAGCATGTGCTAGGCACTATAGGCAGATGAAAATAGAATTCAACACGATGCCTGCCTTCAGTCAACCTAAAAGGGAAGAAAGACATTCATAACGAGTAGTGTGCAAGACACAAGGAGATCGTGACATGAGCACTGTATGGTGAGAGAGACCACAGGGTGACGAGCTTCTTGCAGCTCACTGGCCAGGGAGGGCTTCATGGGACAGGGAAGGAAACGTGCTAGGAGGAAATGGGTCAGAGCAAACAGCCTGGGGCCAGTATGACATAGGTAAAGCCGGGCCTGGATGAAGATAGCCAAGTTGTAATGCCCAGAGGGACCTCACAGGAGGAAGAGGCTGGAGTTTGGTTTGGGGTAGGTAGTAATCTTCAGGGCAGGATGACTGCCACTCAAGCAGATAGTTTCTACACATCTAACAGGAGGGCAATGCATTGTTTCATGTACTAATGTCTCTTACAGAGTGGAAGTTCTGAAATCATTCCTTAAAAAGCAAGGCCATTTCAGAGAACAGGACCTGCAGTTCACAAACCAGTTACTGAGCCCAGGCAGAGGTGGGATTTGGACTTCTCTTTGGCATCAGTCCCAGCTGATGGAATCAGCAGTGAACTTGAATCAGGCCCAGGCAGCAGGCTTGAAAAAGATTTAATGGGCCTGGATTTTCCCTCTTCTTTACCCCTTTCCTGACCTCCACCCTGAGAGGATAATTAAAACATTAAAAGGAGAGAAAATCACTATTTCATTGTAAACGTCTTCCACCATTTGTGCGGAGCATTTTGTTTTGCTATAAAAGCTTTGAACAGTTTCTCAAATTTGTCTTAAACCCTAAATCTCTAAATTTTTGCACAGATTAATATTCTAAAATTAAAAAAATTCAAATTAATATGTTGGGGAAGCTCCAAAACCTTTCCTAATGGAAGATTCGCAATGGGTTTGAGCTTGGAGTGAGCTCTGTACTCCTCTTTCATTAAACATTTGCTGTGCATCTACTCTGCCGGCCCTGCTAATTACCGTTCCTACCCACGTTGTTGTCCCCTTAAAATCTGACTACTGAATTAGACATGAAAACAATTGAATGAACTCTGCAGAAACTGTAGGGGTACATGGGGGGGGGTGTAAAGAAGTCCCTTAACTCCAGCAAGAAAAAAAAAATTTAAGTGGGAAAGCCTTTAATGTGGGAAAATAAGAGCAATGATGCGACCTACAGAAAACATAAATATGCTCAGACATAACAATAAGGCTAGTAACTTGTGGCGTGTGTGTGTCTCCAAGCATATTCAGAATCACCTCTATTTAAAATAGAACAGAAGCGTTTATCTTGAGTCACTTTTCAGATGGGTCAGGGAGCCCCCAACCCTGGATTAAGGACAGCTGTTGGCACCCTTCCCCATCGCAAGGCACCAAGGAGGATGCAGGGTCCCTTTCCCCTATAGCGAGGAGTAAACGATGAAAGGAAGTTCGTTAGGACCTTAGCCTCCCTTTCAGCCCCGATGTGGGTGCTCAGAGGTGAAGTCTGCATTAAACCGCCGCACTTCAACAGGTAGCGTTTCGCAAAGGCCTCCCGCCTGCCTACGCCCCAGCCCTTCCCATACACGATTGCTTATTTTCGGTTCAGGAGGACGTTGGAGGATCCTAGAGAGGGTCAGTGTCGTCAGAGCTGCTGCAACTGTTTACAGGAGGTGAGCACAGTCAAAAGCATCGAGAACAAAAGCATCGAGGAGCGGCGAGCGCGGGTCCAGCTCAGCCTGCAGTCACGCGCATCGTTTCAACGCGAGGAAAAAAGGTGTAAACGCCCTGCTCCCACCGGCCACCGCTACTACTGACCATCGCGGCGGCCCCTCCTCTAAGACAGCAGTCGGGTCTGCGTGCGAGCTGGGGCACGCGCCCTGCCGCCTCTGCATCCTTCTTTCCACCACCCATCCATCCAGGTCCCAGGTGTGCCAAGCGCCCAGCCCAACCCGCAGCTCCCCGGGCTCTAGCGCTTCTGCCTCCTTCCCCACGCCCCAGTGGGTGCGGCTAGCGGGGGACCCCACTGCCGAAAGGTCCACAAAGCCGGAGTCCGGGATCCCTGCGAGCCGCGCAGCCGGAGGCGGTCCGCCTTGGGCGGTCCGGGAGCGCGCGTCTCCCAGGCCGCGCAGGGTCCCACAGCCTGGCGCTCAGGTGGCTCCGCCGCCCGCTGCGCCGCTCCCCTCCCCTCTCCAGCGAGGGTCGAGTCGGGCTGTTGCGCGCGGGGAAGGAGGGGCTACGCGGGATTTGAAAGTGCCCAGGCTGCCGAGCGGAGCTCGCATCTGTTCCCGCCGCCCGCCGCCGGATTAAATTTCTGCAAATTCAAACTGAATGGGGCTTTCTTCTGCTGCCTTCCAGAGGGCGCCTGCAGCCCGCCGCGCGCTGCTCTCCGGCCGGAGCGGCCGCCCGGCGCACGGCTAGGAGCGATCGCGTCGGACCCGAGCCGGTGCGGGCCACAGCGCGGCCGCCAGAGCCGAGGCGGCGGAGGCTCCGGGGCCCCGGGACCCCCCCACCAGGTCGCGCCCCTCCCGGGCCAGCGGCGCTCCCCGCGCACCCGAGCAGCGCGACTGTCATTAGCCTCCTGGACGGCACCGGGGGCGGGATCTGAGAGTCCCGCCAGCGGCGCGGGCGACCTTCCGAGGCAGAACTTCTTGGGGGCGGGTCCCGGGCCGCCGCTATTGTCTGTGCGCCGCGCTCGGTGGCGCGGGGGGCGTGAGCGTCGCGGATCCGCGCAAGGCGTGCGGAAACCCGGCCCGGCGCGGGGAGACCCCAGGCGGCGGCGGGCGGAGCCGGGGAGCCCGAGGAGGAGGAGAAGGAGGCGGAGGAGAAGGAG